TTTTGGGAAGAATGCTAAATTCTGAGCCTAAATATAAACGTTAGAAATTATTTTTAATTTCTAGATCTTACCAAGTTGGTGAATTAGCCCAGACTGCCGACTTCCCTTAAAATCATCTCAAGGGAAACATTAGCATTCCAGGCACTAATAATAACAAAATAAAACTTTAAAACAAAAACAAGAAATATGAGAAACCCATGGGTAGACTAGAGACTGGTTTGACCCAGCATGGGAATCGGGGTGCTGACTGCTGATGCAGCAGTTGGAGGACAGATCAGAATACTTAAAAAAATGATCTAAGCATTCCAATCAAGAAAAACTTTTGAAGGTAAACCCTGAGTAACAAGGAATAAGGAAATAATAAAAATAGGGATAGAAATAAGTTAAATGGAAAACAAAAGAGAGATTAACAAAAACAGTATATCTTTCTTTGAAAAGTATACATTAGACTGACCTCTTGTAAGAATAATCAAAGATAAAGAAAGAAGGAATCCCAAAACAAATTGGAGGATAAAAATGGGAAATATTGGAAACTCCCAATATAGATGAGATTTATAATAAAATAAAGATCATCATAAAATAAATAGCTATACCAAAATATATTTAGAAACTGGATAAAATGGAAACATTCCTAGAAATATATAAACATCTATAATTTTACATGAGGAAATAGAGAACTTGATTTTATGAGAACTAAATAAGTTAACCTCCTCCCCACTTAAAGCTTTCTCCTTTGTATTCCCCCAAATCCAAACCCAGATGTTATATGAGTGAGTTCTTCTACATTTAAAATTGTCCTAGAAAATAGAAAAAGATCTATGTTGTGAGTTTATTCTAAAAGACTGGTGTGGATCTTGATTCCAAAATCAGATAAGGACAACACAAGAAAATAAAAATATAATTCCTTTTCATTTATGCATTAATTCTAAGTAAAATTACATCCACTCTGATGTAAACTATATTAAAAATAATGTAATGGTAAAGTAGATTTTATTCCAGAAATTCAAGGAGGTTTAACATCAGAAAATCCATTAATGTAATTCTCCACATAAATAGTTTATTAGTACCTCAATTCATACAGAAAAGGTAGTTGATAAAGTTCAACACTTAATTATGATAGAAAAACTTTTGGCAAACTACAATTACCAGTATAGGAGAACTTTCTGAGCTTTGTAAAGGTTATATATAGAATAACCATGTAATTTATCTTTCAAATTTTGATATTTTGTTTAGGTCTAATATTACACTAGATAAATGCCAAGTAAAAAAGAATAAATAGGACTCTTCTGGGTAAATTGGCATGTATGGTAATGCTAATGATATACACACAACATGAGAGAAAGAAAGAATGGAAGGATGGAAGGATGGAATAACTGAAGGAAGAAAAGTAAGGGAAAAATAAGAACAAAACATTATACTTAATGGGTAAACTTTAGATATAGTCTCTTTATGATTGATAGCAAAAATAGAAGCACTTCAGGTTACAGATACTCAAAGAAAGAAAAGTAAGAATAGTATAGATCATGAGGCAAGATCTATGACTATCATTATTTGTAATTGATATGATGATATATTGCTAGGAAAAAACATTATCCACAGAAAAAATATTAGAACATGTAAGAAATATTAGATAGTTCTGAGTCTACCCCATAAAAATCAGTAGTAGTTCTTTATACAAACAACTAGTAGCCCTGCACATGAATCTGTGCCCCCCCTCATAGCTTGCTGCCCTGTCCCTTCCTGTAGTTCTCTGCTGCCTGCTTGTAGCCATTAGCTCGCTGCCACCCTCCTGTAGCTCTCCGCCAGCTGCCCTGCCCTTCTGTAGCTCCCCATGCACCCCCACTCCGCCCTCATAGCTTGCTGCTCTGCCCCCTCCTGTAGCTCTCCGCCACCTGCTTGTAGCTCGCTGCCCCACCCTCCTGCTGATCCGTGATCTGGTCGTTATGTAATGACCATTTGCATATTACATCTTTATTATATAGGATAGTCCAGTAAAAAATAAAAAGTGATATTCACAATAGCAGAAAATCCAATAGAGTATGTACAAATATCTTAGGAATATATAAAACCGCTAGAGGGAAAATTTTAACTCAACTTAAGGTCATAGAAGATGAACTGAAATCATAGAAAAATATTTCATGTTCTTGAATTGAGTGATGCAGCAGCAGCGGGGTGATGGGTGCGGCACCTTCCCCTGATTGGCCAGGTTGCCTCTGGCAGAGGGAGGCTTAGGCTGCGGGCCGAGGTAGAGGTGGTTAGGGGCAATCCGACTGGCAGGGGCCAAGGTAGGGGTGATTAGGTCGGCAGGGGGCAAGGTAGAGGCCATCAGGTCAGCAGGGGGGCAGTTAGGGGCAATCAAACTGGCAGGCAGGCAGAGGCAGTTAGGGGTGATCAGGCAGGCAGGTAGAGGGGTTAGGGACGATCAGGCAGGCAGGCAAGCAGGCAAGAGTTTAGAAGCCAGTGGTCCTAGATTGCTAGAGGGATGTCCATCTGCCAGTTTAGGCCTGATCCCTGCAGGTAGTCAAACATCCCCTGAGGGGTCCCAGATTGAAGAGGGTGCAGGCTGGGCTGAGGGACCCCCCCCTCCCGCATGAATTTTGTGCACCGGGCCTCTAGTTAATAATACAATGCTATAGAAACAAAACTACTTGCTATTGTCAAAGGAACATGTAGACTAATGAACTTAAAAATAGTTTAGAAACATCCATTTATATATGGAACCTAATATTTGGTAAAGATGATACCATATGTCACATTGAATTGTTTAGAAGATTATGTTGGAAAGACTGGCTAACTATAATCAGAAAAATAAACCTGGGTTCCTAACTATCACCAAATGAAAAGATGGATCATAGGTGAAATAAAAATACACACTAATGTTAAAATAAAGTAAAACAATTGAAACAAAACAAAACCTATATGAGAATATCTTTATGATCAATGGCATGGAACAAAAAAACCTCAAATGCACAAACCATAAGGCAAAATAATTGGTAAATTTGATTACAATAAAATTAAGGATTTCTCTTAAAAGACAAAAGGGATATGATTAAGAGACAGGTAAGAGAATGAGATGATATTATAAATGTTTAAAGTTTTGCAAACCTACATGAACAATGGATAAGTGCCAAAAGAAAAATGGTTACAAAATAATAAACTATTCAGAGAAGGAAACCCCAATTTTTAAAATATTTACTTATTTATTTAGTGTTAATCCTCACCTGAGGATATTTTTCCATTGATTTTTAGAGAGAGTGGAAGAGTGAGGGACACATCAATTGGTTGCCTCCCACATGTGCTGGACAAGGGCTGGAGATCGAGCCTGCAACCGAGGTCTGTGCCCTTGACTGGAATCAAACGAGGACCCTTCAGTCCACAAGACAATGCTCTGTCCATTGAGCCAAACCAGCTAGGAAAGAAACCCCAATTGAAAAAAAATGAGATATGCTCCCTCTCACTGGAAATCAGAAAGACAATGAGATGTCACTTTATTACCCACTAGAGGCCCGGTGCACAAAATTCAGGCATGGATAGGGTCCCTGGGCCTGGCCAGTGATCAGGGCTGATGGGGGCCTTCCAGCTGCCAGCTGGAGCCTCCCTTCCCCTGCTGCCGGCCAGGGCCTTCATTTGTTCTGTGCTGTTCCCTGGTGGTCAGCACACATCATAGCGAGCGATCAAATTCCCAGTTGAACTCCCAAGGGGACATGTTGCATATTAGCTATATATATATATTAGAGACCCAACGCACAGTATTTGTGCAAGAGTAGGCCTTCCTTCCCCTGGCTGCTGGCACCAGCTTCCCTCTAGCACCCAGGTGCGGGCATCCCTTGCAGCCCTGGCTTTGTCCGGAAGGTCATTCGGAAGGACGTCGGTCTAATTAGCATATTACATTTTTATTATTATAAATATATATTCTGGAAACAATTAGAAAGCCAGAATACGAAAATTCTTAATGCTGTGATGGTGGGAGTGCACCTCTGGAGAGCCCCTAAATTCATGCCTAGCTAATGATTCTGCAATTCCAGAAACCCTTTAGAATCTATTCCATAGAAATTTCTTATTCATGTGCTAACGAGACATGCAGGAAGATATATCCATTGCAGTGCTGCTTATAGAGGTGGGAAATTGGAAGCAATCTGAATATTGCAGATAGAGAGGATTTTTAAAATGGTGATTGCATGACATGAGTAATATTTAGTAGTTGGAAGCAATAAGTTATATATAATAGCATGGATAGATAGATCATAAAAATATAATGCTAAGGAAGAAATATCAGAAAACATGATACATATTACACAACCATTTATAGATATGAAAATTCATGTACACAAGAATTATAAATCTATATTTTATAAGAACACATACAAATAAAAAATGCATGTTAATTAGAATGATTGCATAAGGAGTGATTGGGAGTGGAAATGGAGATAAAAAGCTGCAAGCAACAGGCTTTTTAAAGACAGATAATAGTAATGTATCATCAAGAGGGGAATATGAATAACAGTCTTCCACTTAATGAACAAACACTTAGATTTTTATGTGATGGCATCTTCTGTGATATAAAGACAGAAAGATGCAAATGTAGTTTCTCAAAGAAAAGAAAAATTTGCCAGACTCTGGTTCCACTACAATCCCAATAAAACTTTTGTTTAGGGCAGTTTGAACTATTTTTAAAAATTGACCAATTCAGACAAGTAGTTCAGTGGTGCCTATATCAGGTGGTAAAAGAATCAAATAATTTGGTCCCTAGTAATATTAATGAGGAAAAAAGTGAATAGAAGGTGTGTGTAGGAATTTTCATAGTCTAGACCAGTGGTTGGCAAACTGCGGCTCGACAAACCACGGCTCGCGAGCCACATGTGGCTCGCGAGCCGTGGTTTGCCGACCATGGGTCTAGACCAAGTGTAATCATCAGGGTCCTTATACAGGGAGGCAGGAGATCAGAGTAGGTAGTAGGTTATATAACAATGAAGCAAAAGTTGGTAGTGATGTGAAGGTAGGCCTACTGGTACAAGCCAAGGAATGCAGGTGGCTTCTAAAATCTGAAAAAAGGCAAGGAAATCAATTCTCCCTTGAAGTCTCAGAAGGGATGCAGCCCGGCTGAGACTGTAATTTTAGACTTCTGGTTCCTATAGCTGTAAGAGAATAAACTTAACGTTGATTTAAGCACTAAGGTTATGGTAATTTGTCACAGCAGCAGTAAGATATTAATGTACATACTGACTTCAAATGGAGCCTCTGAATCAATCTGTTACACATTGTACCTTCCACAAATGGCTGCAAAAATATCTCAGTGGTGCCTATATCAGGTGGTAAAAGAGAATCAAATAATTTGGTCCCTAGTAATATTAATGAGGAAATATTCTCTTCTGCAATACCTCTTGCCACTTCCCATTCACTACATGGAGTCACATACTCTTCTGCAATACCTCTTGCCACTTCCCATTCACTACATGGAGTCCATGCTTGCCACCTCTCCCCCTTGAATCTGTGTGGAACCTGGGACTGCTTCGATCAGTAGAATGGTGTAAGTGACAAAATGCCTCCTAGTTGGCCTGGCAACTTCCACTTTTTCCTCTTGAAAGCTAGCTACCCTGAAAGAATTGCCATATTAGAACCAGCATGCTAAGAGAAACTCAACCACATGGAGCAGCCCTGCAGCATGATATGCCATATGGAGAGAGAGCGATGCCACGGAGCCTGAGCTGTCGGACATGTGAATGAAAAGCTATCTTGGAGGTGGATCCTCCAGGATGTGCAGCTGAGACAAACAACCCAACACTTTCTAAATATTTGACCCACAAATTCATGACTAAAGTAGAATAGTTATTTTAAGCTACCAATTTTAGGGTTTGTTTCTCAGCAAAAGATAATCAAATCCACCTTTTTAGTAAGTTGATGATTATCCGCACAGTGAAGTGATATACTGTTGTTTTCGGTGGCTATTAAAGAACGTGTTGTTGGCACTAAGTGACCCCTACTTACTTTAAAGACTGTAAGTATTTTATCTCTATTTTTTCAGCTGTTATTTCTGCCAGATTGCCATATGTAATTTCATAGAGTTATAGTGAGGAACAAAATGAATGCAGCGAACCTGCTTTGCTTTGTACTATTGAGGCATTAGGCACATACTATTATGTTAATCTCTATGC